CTGTCTATGGGAATTTATTTGTAGTGGTGCACCACGATAATTCTGACTACTCTCGTTAAGATTATGAGACGTCTGGGAAATCTGTGGTCAGGGCACCACACTAATCATATGTTGGCTCATCCATTTCGGAAGTGGGGGAGGTGGCAATGTCAGGGCACGATACACACTGCGTTGTCAAGCTGGCTGTTTACGCAGGTACGTTTAAAATATTGAGAAATGTGTACTTCAGGGAGTGATTATATTTTGCAAAGAAACAGTTGTGAACGGGTGGAACTAATAAAGTGTCTGTTTTCCATGTAATTTGGGGATTTATCTATTGCAAAATGGTCAAGCCAGTATGTGAGTAGTGTGGTTCCCTGACCACAGATTTCCAAGACGTATCTACACGAGCTACATAGGCCTATGCAATCACACGTACATGTATGAAGCCAAACCACCGTTCACAACCATGCACAAATGGATGGGGCTCAACCAAACATAAAAAAACTGTAGGCTCCTATTCCCAGTATATAACATTCAGGCTTTATTTTCCCTTCCGTCCACAACTTCCACACAAGATTCGAACCCACACCCCACAAACCATTATGCTGTGTAACCGCTTGACTATCGCAGTTCAAACAAGTTCCTGATGTTTTTACTATTGATGTATTTGTAATACCGATGAACGGCTGCAACACAAGGCTAATAAAATTATGGACATGTGCAATACATACACTACCTCGGTGGTTAGGCTTCATACGTGTGATTGCATTTATATCTCCTCTATACATAATCTAAACGAGAGTTGTCGGAATTATCTGGACTGGTATCCAAAGCAACATAAACGTTTGTTATGTGAATACGCTGGATTTGTCACATAATGTACAGCCATAAGATAATGCAGATGTGTGCGGATTGTGCGGGATGAGAAGTGAGAATGGTAGAAAAGAAACCTCATTTTTGGACAATAATATAGGTTAAATCCTACAAAAATCATGCGAACCCAGATGTTCAATATGGATAGAAGTTCATTGAGGTTGATTTGCTCCATAAAGCGCAGGGGGGGGGGTTTCAGGTACAAGTTCAACTACCTGACCCTGGCAGGGCACTTTTCAAAACCCCTCAACATGTTGCAACACGGAGTAAGCCTACAACTAGTACTATTGACTTTGACTTGAGTTCAGTCGAACATGTCGAAGTAGGCCTGGTCTAGTTCGAATTAACTTGCACGTTCAGAAAAAAAATACCGAACACAAAATGACATGCTAAAACTAACAATAATCTCTCATGCACTGAACAAACACTGGGCACAAATTCTGAATGAAATGTCTTCTTATTAAACACCCAAAATTAAGTTACCTTTCGTTTGCTTGCTCTACTTGGCATACACGTGGGCATAGGGCACGCGCGCGAATTTTAAGCAATGGCAGTTACGGCGCCCCCTGTATCTGATACGATTGCACGCATTGGGGGGCGCGTTCCACCAAATGGTTGTATTTCTGCGCGTGAGCTCATTAACATTTTGTGATCCCACAGGATTTTTACAATAAGACAGGCCATAATCAGGGGCATCATAAAAACATTTTTATAAATTCCGAATTTGGGACTGATAGTTTTCAGTTCGTGGTATTTCTTTCACAATAGCCCCAAATTGCGGGCCTATTTTGGATAGAGGCGGGCGGCTACATTCAGAAATGAGCGCTTAGTTTTACTACTATTCGATGGGGGAACTTCGTTGAAAGGCGAATAACTAAAATTCGTGGCTAATCCCCATGAAATTGAAACGAAAAGTAATCTTCTGGCCATAATCTCGAATTTCCAGAGAAAAAACGGAGGCCAGCCTCGTCGTGAGAGTCAACAGGAGGTACTATTTCGGTCCGAGTTTGCTCTGTTTTCTATGGGCGCGTAATGTTAATGGGGATTAAGGAGTGCACACGTCACACGCCTAAGATGTCTACTAAGATTTCTACGCTCCAGCTCACTATTTTGTGGACTCTGGGGGATTGTTTACAAACGAGCTGCCATAATCGCGACAGATCATAAAAATAATCATATAAATCACAAATTTGAAAAATATTCTAGCTCCCAACTCGGGATATTTGGCTCACAAAAACCTCCAACTTGTGGGCCTATTTTGCACGGAGGTGGGCTGCTGAATGGGAGAATAATAAAATTTGGTGTAGTTTAGGGAACAAAAAACACAAACAATAAAAAAAACAATGTGGCTGATCCTTTTGAAGTTGAGCAGAAAACCGACATTGGCTTGAACTTCAGTCAGTCACGAAGTGCTACGTTTTGAGTTCTATCTGACTAACTCAGCCTATTCTTTGGGAAAATGTACAGTCAAAACTTACGGAAGCGTACAAGGGCCACTTGCAAAAAAAAAAACAATTTCGAGACACTATCTAGCCGAGGAGAGATGGTATCTCGCCGCGGCGAGTTATAAGATCTTGCCGCGGCTTCAAATTGATATCCCGCCGCAGCGAATAATTCATAAATCCACGCGTGAACTTATACTATACCTTGGAGATTAGGGCACTAAGTAACCAAAAATGCTTTGAATGTCCAAAGCTGTGAGGTCTTTCAAGCGTCGTGTTTGTAGAAGTACTGTTTTTGATCACAATTTTTGCATTTTAAGTACTGTAAATTAATAAACGTCGACTGATGAAAGTTCAAATGTGACTTTCAAGTCCGCTTGCTTCTGTTTGGCACTTGGAAAATGTAGGAAGAAAGTAAAAACACTTTACCCCTCATCTGAATCTGGAAATTCACACCACAAAATAAGATTTCGTTGTCTGTCTTGGAAAACAAGCATTGTTGAAATGTAACATCCATTTTTTGTTTCAATTAGCAATGTAAAACCAAATCTCGATACCTTTCCTCCTAAAGATACATTTTAAAACAGTGCACTGAATTGCGCACCCAGCCGGAAGTGGCGACCCAGTGTTCAGATTAATATAGAGGCTCCATCGAATACGTTCTTGACAAAAATATGTTATGTATTTGCCCTTCTGGGTGGTTTGTGACGAGTGAACGCATGGATGTGAGGTCAAAGAGCCCGGGGATTTCAATCCAGTTGACGAAAAATTGCGTGTTGGTTTTCCTTTCACCTTCACTTCATTTTCTTTTTGCCTGCTGAAGTCTCCTAAATCTTAGTTGATTTTAATGTTAGAGTGATATCAACATCAAGGTTTGGTCCTAAATGGCAACACATATTGGCTAAAAATATGCATGGGTGTCGGCAGAATTTTTTAGGGGAAGGGAGGCAAACCGTCTAGTTTAACAGCGGGAAGAGGTTCAATTTTCTTTTTTGTTCTCTCAAGCAATTTATCATGTTCTATTTCATTTTTAGTTTTCATTTCTTTGGCTGTTTTCGTTTTTATTTTCGCTCTTCTCGCGGTCCCCTCGAGGCGCTTATGTAAATAAGATTATTTAATTAAAATATAAATGAAAAGGCACCGTAATCCTTTCAACAGGCAGTCTACCAGGGAGTCTTGTCTACTCCACTTCCAGATACGAAAATTCATACCCCCAAAAGAGATTTTTTTCGTTTTCTTTTGTGTCGGAACTCAAGCTTGACTGAAATGTAACATCCCCTTTTGCTCCAATGAGAAATCTAAAACCAAATCCCAATGCACTTCATCCTAAACATACATTTGAAAACGGCGCGCCGAATAGGACTTACGTATTGAAATATTTCCTTCGGCGAGACATCAATTTGACGCTGCGGCAAGATCTAATTATAACTCGCCGCAGCGAGACACACATTCAACGACAACTCACCGCGGCGATATAGTAACTCGCTGCGGTGAGATGATAACTCGAAATTTATTCTCTTGCAAGTGGCTCTTCAATGATACGCTTTTGTATACGCTTCCGTACTCCCCATATCTAACCTCACAGAAATTTTAACCCTCACTTTTTAGCTTGCCTGCATGTGTCTGGCCTGAAGTAGGTGGCCTTAGAGGAAATGAAAAATGCAAAAGAAAAAGACGAGGGAAAATTAATCGATTCTCTGATGTCCTCAGCTCCCCATTTAGCAGGTGTTTTCCTTTGCCAGTAGATCGCTTTGCCCACGGCAAAGAGTGAACGCACATCAATAATTTAACCTTCCATTAGGAGGTCTTCCATCGAATGAGTAGTTAGTTTATCCGTCCTCGTTAAACGGAAACAGCGCCCTCAATACAGCAGTTTTATTTCGTCAATTGATGGAATTTAGATTGGGCATCCTTCCTCCATGGATTGGGTACGTGCACCCACTGCTAGTCTGGATAATAATTTTTTTTTTTTTATTATGACTCGTCTGGGAATTTTTGGGGAGGGAACCAGACTAACTCACTGCATTCTCACTACACGAACGTTTATTTCGGTGAATTTCAGTGAAAAAAGTACAGAAATAAATACAACCAGGCCTACATGTACATTTATTTAGGTCAGGGGTTACTCGCTTGTGGTTTTCCGCGAACCAGTTCAGGGTGCATCACTTTTATAGTTTTTCCATGGTTATTTAATAGCGAACCGATTTGTTTTGTTTTCCCGACGACTTACCATTAATAACTTATGGCTGCTCATATGCGACATCAGAATTCATAGGTGTACATCAAATTTTACAGAGATGATATTTTATCTCCTTTACTCTTCTCTTTTTTTCGGTTGAATATTTGCGTGCGTGTGTGGTGGTGGTGGTGGTGTGTGTGTGGGGGGGGTACATAGATATTGCCCGAGGCGAAAGTGCAATCGCTTTGAAGTGTACCACAAAAGCCGACACAAGTATCATTATTGAAGCACATGTACAAGTACATTGTACAAGGCCAGATACGGCAGACCCGCCCACTTGGTCAAATATAGGGGAGAACAATAATTAATGTACATGTAGTTGAATGTTATCAAGTCAGGATTCAGACTGATTCACTAGCCAACTGTGCTCAATTTTGTATCATGAATTACATTGATAAGGCTATAATATGTAATTAAATTTATCATTGAATTCACCAATGTCATTAAAATATTGCGTAAAACCTACTCACCCCTAAACGATTAATGTTGTGATCCACTTGTGTTGAGGTCGCTTCATAGACACGTGACTACACATCAAAGGGTGCCGCGCCAAATGCATAATGCATATGCTCTGTGATGACTAGGACCGCGCTGCAGTGTGTGTGTGTGTATTTACGATGGGAACTTGCACGCACAAAACGTGACTGCCATCCTTCCCAAAGAAAAACTGGCCGAGAATACCTGGTTGCCCGTGCGCTCTAGTAGCGAGAATCGGACCAAGCTATCCCCAGAAATGCCTCCAAGATGATCCTCCTGAGTTTGTTGCTTTTGGCCGGGCCGGTGATGTGCCAGGCCGGAGAGAGTGCGGTGGATTCTGGTAGCGGGGACGGACCGGGCAACGGAGCGGCCGGTAGCCCGGGTCTCACGGGCAGCCGTGCCGTGGTGGAAGTGGTACTGTATGACAGCAACCTCAATGGCGATTACACCACCCGGACACTCAAATTGACGGGAACTTTCTCACCCGCTGGGGTTACCATCAGCGCCGAAGGTGAAATTAAACAGGTATGCTCATGTTGCTTACAGCAGAAATAAAACAGCTTAGGCCTAGTACAGCGAAAAAGTAAGACAAATCTGCTGTCATACAAAAAAAGTAGGCCCTACATGCCTCGGCCTACTACTTGCCATAATTATTAAGTCCAAGGCCATGACTAAGTTTTAGTCATTCTCTCCTGAAAAGCTGGGATCTTTCCCGTTTATTAAAGTGATGTGAATCTTGGAGAAAAAAATTACTGTATCCACTAGCGAGCTGTGCACAGATTTTTTTGGTCCATGTTTCTGTACTACAATTTTTTTCTTGTAACAAACTATCAAAAGCAATACACCCCAAGAAAATGATGTTTAATTTTAGATCAAGATAGCCAAAGAAAATTTGAGGTCTCCTACTTGAACATTTTTAAGTAGTTTTCTGAATTTTCAGGACGAGCTGTGCTTGTAAGCTAGGCCTATGTGCTTGAAAATTGAGAGTCAGAGAGAACGGAATATTTCATCTCGTGGTACAACCATAGAATACAGGGCCACTCGGTTTGGACTTACATATTTTATTCCACCATCTCCATTCATTTTGTGTTGCCTCATTCTCAAAAAGAACTCTTTCGACATCATAGCCACATAGCCACCAACCGGGTACTCGATTTGGATTTCTTTCCAGAGTGACTCCCATCCAATGCTACATCATAGCCAGTGATTCAAGGGTTTTTCTTGTTAATATCATGTTACTTGAAAGCTTGGCTTATTTGGAAAGTGGATGAACCCCCAATTGACTGTATGGAAGTAAAATCATTTGTTTGTATCAACTAATAACTAATTAGTATCGGCAACAAATAAATATTAGCTGGGCCTGTCGTTCGTATTCATGTCCCAACCTTACTGCTCAATTTGGCAGCAGCAAATTTCTGTTGACTCATCTCCGTAAATATTTACCCCTTTTAAAATTGCTAAAAAGTCATTGATTAATTCGCAAAATAATGCACGTGTGCAGCTGATGAAAGAATCCACAAACACATTTAAATATAACAATATATTGGAAGTTGAGTCAGTTGAGTGCCCAACATTGTCACAGGGCATGAGCTCGCCTGTGGGTGGATGGGTGAGCTTGATTTTTAGCAATTGCAGTTACATGTAATTAGTCATTGTTTTAGAATGCCCCCATACCTTCATCTGGCATGTACCGGTACATGTACAGTATGTACATCAGAACAAGGCATCTTTGAAAGCATTGGTTTCCCCAAGTAATATTCACATTCAAATTAAATTTCCATCACTTCAGTACATTTTAATTTGATCAAGTTTTCATGCTTGGCAGTGTGTAGTGTACATGTATAGTGCGGTACATGTGGAGCTCTAGTTGCACAAGTAGAAACTATGTAGTGTGTGCACAGTTTGTTCCATTCATCTGCGTGTGTACACGTTCATGTAGTTACCATTTATCAGCAACAGTGGTGTTACTCCCGATCAATTTCATGGTATACAGCATCAAGCCCCTAAACTGTGTCCACAGCAGGGCTCCGCATATTGACAGAAGTGTAAATGGCTCCGTTGCCGTGGTATCGGTGGAGGGTTTACCATGTGGACTGTTTGCCGTGCTCAGTCGGGGAGCATGTAACATGAGAGTGCTGCCGTGGATATTGTTGACCCTTCGGTGGGCCAACATCAAACCCCGGGCCTACCGGAATTCACCTTTTGGATTTATCTTCTCTTGAGTGCCTGTAAATTCCTTTGCTCGTCTGGTCAAAAAAAGTCTGGTTTGATTTCTAAGTGCTTAGCAGGAATATCTTGCTTTTGTTACACAAGTACCAGCAGGCTGAAGCACTGCTCTTGGTGACCGAAAAATTGTCCACCTTCAAAACACAATCCTTTGCAGACTTTGGTCAGGGCGAAGTTGTCTTTCATTGAAGAATGAGAATGTAGGCCATCAGGAGATAAACTTAATGTGCACAGTTGGCCTATAATATCCATGTGAAAAAGCATTAAGTCTTGTCAATTTACGGGTTTGTCGTACAGCAAAGAGTAACTTCAGTGGCCAATCCATTTTTGTGGACAGGGATTTTGTCCAAGTTGAGGCAAAGTATTCAAGGATGCCAGACCCACTTTCATTCATGTACATGTACCTGTATGTGTATCTACATGATGTACATGTACATGGTTTTATTTACATATATGTACTTTAAAATACTTATCTAGTGTGGAGCTTAGTGTTAGCTTGGCCTCTCAGTTGGTTATGTATGCTTCATGCACGGCGTCTGTGTTCTGCTACCAAAATGAAGGATTTTGAGAAGACTAGATTCATCTGTGTTACCATTCAAACAAGAAACCCTTGGTCCTACATGTACATATAGTGTGTACATGTACTTGTCCATGTACATGTACCACAGTGCAATTTGCCTGTCCACTTGTCTAAAAGACGCCTGTCACGAAAACACCTTTAATGCAGCACCAGATCTTTGGCAGCCAGTACAACTCTATGTTTTTATTACTTGCTGGTAAGAGCAGTGTATTACATGCTGGGGTTAAGCTAAGCAACTTCATGTAGCAATCCTGGGGTGAAAAAAAAAAAGAAAAACAGTAGGGTGCGGGGTACGTGTGGGCACTCCAGAACCTTAATCCTATATGCTCCATTCAAACTGTGGGCTCCTGCACGCACACAAATTGGACTGTTGGGGGTCACTTCAGTGTGAAATAGTGTACGACTGCCCCCATTTTTATCCCCTAGTTGGAACCTTGCAAAGAACCTACTTGTGGACATTATTTTTTGAGGGGGGTGTCCTATTCACTGGGCCGTTCGAGGTCTTGGCTTTTATTCGTACAAGTACACTGGCCCGGATGTTTTCATAACATTGAATGGCATCTGTGCCGAGTCAAAAAAAAAAAAATAATAGATTTGCACAGTTAATAGCAATTGTTGACTGGAAAACGATTTGTAAATCTGTATGGCAAAGGTTTACAGGGTGCACTGTACTTCAGATGTGAAGGTCACATCTCGGATGAAACAATTTCTTGCAAGGTTAGAAACCTTGGTTAGGCTTTTTTTTAATGTGGAGGGAAAAAATGGACGAGCTGTTCATTCTAAATACACTGTACCTCAAATCCCTCAAGTCAAGTATTGCAGCGACAGTGGATGAATTTTAGACTGTTGAGCAGTCACTGTTAGACAGGGAGTTCTATTATATTTTAGGGGTGAGCATTGGTAATGGGGCTCTGTGTTCTTGCAGGCCCATTGGTGCCAAGAACTGCATGTACATGTAGTTCCAAATCATGAAAATAGGTAACGTCATTTTAAATATACTGAACAACTTTTCTTGTAACAGAAAAAGAAAGGTTTGATGAGAAATTTTTAAATAAATTTTTGGCTTGCATGGATCAGGTTTCACAAGACATTCTTCATACTGTGAGTGAAGGCATATTGCGCAAGGATTTGGTACACGTACATCTAGGTGAAACACAAATTTATGCCAATTTGAAAGGATATTTCCCATTTGTCTTGAATTGTTGGGGTTAGAATTTCCTCAGATTCCCTATACCAATGTTTATTTCTAAAGGGTAACCTTTTCCTGTTCAAGGACAGATGGGGGGGGCATGGGTGGCTTACCCTCTCCAGGATCCCAAAAAGAGTTTTTTGGGATGTTCAGCCTATATGTATTTTTATTTTCCATCTTCCAAAAAGTTGTACAAAAGTTCCAAAATATAGCCTCATCCCTCAGAATGGCCATTTAAAGATTATAAAAAAAATGCAATTCGGGGGGGGTCTTCCCCTTGCCCCCCTCTCAAAGGAATTCTGGATAGATCTGCCATTGTTTAGTACAGTTGGGCCCTGCTCTAGATTCGGGCATATTTCAAGATTTTTTGAGGGGCAAAGTGTCCAAGAGAGTATTTTTTAAAAGACTCTCCTCTTTATGAAATTGAAATTGTAACTCTGGCTGAGTTCGGGTGGCTTGTTCTTCTTTGTTCACGAACAGCTCGATTTGTTGTTCGTGGGTCGGCCACTCGAACGCTGGAGACCTACAACTGGTTATTGCTGGTAGTTAGTGAGAAACAACATGCAACATGGCGGCGTTCGTGTACATGTACGTTATTTGAGAGTTTGGATAAATGGGCTGAATTCTTTTCTGTTTAAACAGGAACATTCATTTCTGTGTTATGGAAAGCAATTAATGTAAATTTTGCAAAACTTCTTATTGTCTCCGGCTTTGTAAGCCATCTGTATATTTTTTACTACTGTTCAAAAATCCAAATCTCACGAGTTTTTCCGTGTGTTCCTGCAAACCCTGACAAGGAGGTGGTGTGTGATCCTGTTCCAGGAACAGTGTTCTTGAGTCATGTTCCCAACGTTTGAGTGTGAGAACCAGAAACCTGTGTCAAGAACAGGCTGCCCTAACTCGACCACCGGTTCATAAAAACTAGAAGACAGATCCCAATCCGGATCATTACACTGTGCACTTAATGACTGCAGTAGCAAATGTTTAGCGCTCGTAAAAAAGGAGAAAAAAATGCACAGGAGTCTTTATAGTTTTGTTTGTGCACAGATTGGGATTGAGACAGTTCTTAGGCTACCCCAGCTGAGTGTTTTATCGGTGGGTTTTATGCGTTCAAAGGTTACTGGACTGTAATGGGCCCCGAGAAGCCCAAATTTCTAATAAAAAGGAAAAATGTTTAGATAAGGCCCCTCTTATCCAACCCCCCCCCCTAGCTTGACAGTGGGAATATCTCAACCACAAATCAGTTTAAACAACCCCGGAGGAAAAGAAACACCTATTTTGTAACACTAAAAAAATTAATTGGGAGTTCTGGTGTAAAGTTGTCAATTTTTGTTTTTCACTGCTGGTACCGGTATGTTTGGCATGTGTACACAAGTCCGGCTTTTCAGTGCTGTGGGACTAACGGCATTTGCATTGGTTTGGTACCATAAAATAACAAATTTGAGGAAATGTGGCCTGTATCCTTTCCTGAGAGGGATAGAAAGAATCATGAATTGAAAACCGTTCGCTGTAGTTTTTTGTGAAACTGGA